GAAATTAGAAACATGTTGAGGAAGAAATTATAAAATATGTGGGTAAATTTAATTATAGCTACTAATAGTTAATTTGTATTTTTAAAAGGGGGAATTAAATTCCAGTCAGCAATAATAAGGAACTGGGAAGTGTAGTTCAATGGGTAATTAAAGCATGCCACAGTAAGTGGTTTTAGGAGAAGGAAAAGAAATATAGCATTTTTTTTTTTAGACAGAGTCTCACTCTGTCACCCAGGCTAGAGTGCTGTGGCATCAGCCTAGCTCACTGCAACCTCAAATTTCTGATCTCAAGTGATCCTCCCACCTCAGCCTCCCAGAGTGCTAGGATTACAGGCGTGAGCCACTCAGCCCGGCCTAGCATAGATTTTTTTTAGTTTTTGCTTGAAAAACATGGATTTATATAAGAATGACAAAAATTTGACAAGAACTATGAACAAAATAGATATAAAATATGCAATTTGTCAAGCAAAATTAGATGAAGGGAAGAATACAGAACAACTTTGTCGATACAATGGAAAGAAGGCAAATGGGAGACAGATCCAAGAAAAGAGATGATAGAAAACAAAACAGTATGATTGAAAGAAATTCAATTTTGAAAATAGAAATAAAAAATCCAAACCTATCAGTAATCCTAATGCATGTGGAGAGATAAAACTTACCTAAGTACAGAAACTATCATATTACATTTAGAACAAAGTAAACTTATGACACCTATATAGACCACTCCTATAACAAAATGATTCAGAAAGTTGAAATAAAGGGCTAGAAAGACATAAACTGGAAATACTCCATCTAAAAAAAAAAAGTGGTATAACAATATTAATATCAGACCAAATAAAATTCCAAGCAAAGATCTTTAAGAGGAAAAGTAAAGGGAAATCATACTATGATGTGTCGGGGACTTTTTCTTGGTCACCCACTCAACAGGATGAATACCATGGAATGAATAATCATGAATTGCAATGCATCTGGATACATCAGCATATCCAGTGTAATAGAATCCAGAATTAGAAGGAGAAGACGTTACATCTACAATCAAAGTGGAAGACATTAAGTCACGTCTATCAGAAACTAACAGACTAGACAGACCTAAAATCAGTAAGGGTAAATAAAATTTTCATAACAAAATTAATGTGTTTGATCAAACAGCAGTACAGAGATCTCTGCACTCAACAAATAAAGAATACGCATGTTTGTCAAGCACAACATTTAAAAAGCTGGCCAAATGCTAGATTACATATATTTCTATGTAAATAATTTACACACATGGGCAAAAAGTAAGAAAATGTGGCAACTATTTAACAGTGGCTACTTTTCCAATGGTAGGATTATAGATAATTTTTATTTTCATATATTTCTGGCTTTTTGAAATGTGCTATCATGAGCATGTGTTTTTATAATCAAATACAATAAACATTTTAATTTACATGTGTACCCCAGTAAAATTCTGAAGTAAAAAACATTTTTAATTTTGCCTGTAACAGCCTACCAGCAAGTGAAGACATAAGGTAAAAAATGTTTCTGCACTTGGTACAGATATTGATTGGGGTCTTTTGCTTCCTATTTCAGATGATATTTGGCATTTGACATTTGATATTGAGAGAATTTGTTTAATATGCCTCAACTCACATTTGCTATGCAGGGGCAAAATTTTGGTGTTTTAAAGAAATAATTTACTGATCAAGTATAGGCTGACTCGACCCCATCTTCCCACCATGATAATCCCATGCCGTAGGGATGGGATGACAAGACTTCCAAGACTGGAGCAAGTTATTTTCTCAGCGTGTCAAGAATGTGAACAAATGATGCCAAAGACAGAATTATTATCCCTTCAAAGACTTTCCTCAGCACTGTCTGTGTGCTGTGCAGTTTTCTCAGTTCGATAAAAGATTAGAACACAATGCTTATTTGGAGAATTGTGACTTCATATTGCATCAATATCTTTCTCAGCAGTGTTTTTCATTTTCTCCCCTCTGCAACTTTTTCAGCTTTGGGAGAATTAGCTGAAAAGCCAGGTCTTTTGGGTAGATGCTACCATTAAGCCCTCTACTCTGACACTTGGAATCATAAATCCCAGCAAACAGTTCCTAATGCCATTGTGTATTGTCTTCTAAGAGAATGATGGACAGATTCTTAAAAAAAAAAAAAAACGAAAGAAAGAAAGAAAGAAAGAAAACTCAAAGCCTCCCACATTTGCTGACTTTATCACGAGACACGAAGAGTCCTGCCAATCAAGGCATCAGTACGTTGATTGCTCAGCTCTGCTTCTCCAATCAGACTTGTTCCTCCAGCGTCTCTGAACACACACACACACACACACACACACACCCCACTCTACAATGTGGCTACTGCTGATTCACCTTCCTCACTTTTGTGTACCAATCTCAATTCTGCTTATCCAGCAAACCCTAACTCAAATGATATCATCCCTTGAGTCTTCCCAGAACCTCCCTTTAGTGGCTTTCCCAATTTCCATTACTCCTGAAGTCTACAGAGTAAGCACTGTTACATCCAAGCAAGAGGGGACCCTGCCTTGGGTTTCTGGCTTTAGAGAGCCCAGCTCTCACTCCCTTTGGTCATGGTCTTCCCCTTGGGGCAAAGAGTCCCCTAGAACTAATGTGGTATGCCTGCCTGGAGCCTGTGTCCTCCCTTCTAGACTATGCTCTGGGACCCAGAATGGTTCCCTTGCCCCAAATGGCCACACAATCACTTTCAGGGTTTTTACACCTCTTACCTGGGCCCATCCTCTCTGGGCAGACAGCATCACGGTGTGTACACCCCAAGACCAAGGAGGCAGCTGTCTGGATGTATGGGCTGAAGTGTTCACACACATTTGCATGGCCCCCCAAGATGTAGGAAGGGAGGAAGTGAGAAAACAAGGGAGGAAGTGAGAAAAAAAGAAGTAGCCAGGAGCCAGGCCAGCTCTCCCAGCTCTGCCATGTCGGGTCACTCCCATTATACCACTGGGCCCAAATGTAATGCTCGGGTCATTTAGCACATTCTCCAGCTGAATTTACCACTGCTCATGGACCCCTCCCGGTTAGAAGTATATTCCACTTTGAAGTTACACCCGAAATGAACAGAAGGGGAAAAGTTAATAAGATACTTAACAAGCACAATGAGTTGCATTTTTGAGAAATATAATTTCATTCAAAAATTCAATTTCACTCAAACCCTTGTGGGGTTTCATTGTCTCCCTTTAAAGATTAGGAAAACAAGGCTCAGGAAAGCTGAGTTTTGTTACAGTCTCATAGTAGAGCAGGAACAGCATCTTTATGACTCTGCAATCTACGTTCCCTTCACTCTACTGGGACATCCATGACAATCATCCTTTAAACAGAAACCAAAAGACCAATACTTCCTATTTGTAAGTCAATGGTTAGTGACTTAAATATTGGTTCTGAGAGTTAGTTTTGCAAAGATTAATGTTCACAGGCTGAGAAGCAGATTTGAAAGTCCTACCTGGTAGCAGCATGAAGAGCTGCTCTTCCCAGTCTTGGTATTAGCTGGTTAGTTATTAGGAGTGGATTGGGTTGGGGGGGATGGACTGTATGTATTCTTAATTGTTGGAACGTGGGGACTGGGTGCTCGCCTTTGTAAATGTTGACCTTGCAAAGCTGAGCAATTTGCAGTTGCTTTTCTTGCAGATAACACTACTTCCCTTATCTACCACGGAACAGATCTTAATGAAGAACTCACATGCATGGCATAAGGTTAATGAATATGAAACTAAGCAACGTGTATCCCTCTGATGGACAGGATTTGTGCAGAAAAGACATTATACACATATCCGATGATAAGGTGTAAGACATGCAGGGAATTGTAGTCACGCTTCCTCCACCTGAGGAGACAGAATCCCAGACACAGCAAGTGACTTAGTCATCAATGAGAGCTGTCTATTCTACCTGCATGCTCTTCCTGTGGCATAAAATTCAGCTGATAAATGAGCAAGCCATCTGTGCATATGTTTTCAAAGCAATATTAAAGTCCAATCAAATGTGTTAGGTGAGGATGCTATCCTTATAAATATGTGGGGGGAGGGGATTTTGCATACAAAAGAGAAGGAAATCTAAATATTAGGCTTTCAATGACACAGGGCCCCCATGAACCTCCATGGGCATTCCTCTGAGGCATTTTAAGATTTATTGCTATGAAAGAGCCCAAGCATACTCTCATTTGGAAAAGGCAATAATGTTAATGAACTTTTGTTCAGGGGAGGGAATTTAAGTGCATACCACTGCTCAAAGTTATCTCTTGGTTACTAGGCTTCAGGGAACCTAGTAAATACTTTAAGAACATTCAGCATTGTCTGAATCACTAAAGATGAAAGAAGATGACTTAGGAGGTGGGAATCAGAGTGGGGGGGAATTTTTTTTCTGTTCCCAACATTATGAAACACATATGGTTTTATTCAATCATAAGATACACAGAGCATAGAATTTACCAGAAAATAAGACTGGCAGTGCCAGCATTTCATACTCCAACTATTAATGCATCAAAGAGAAATAAAGAGAAGTAACATTCCTTAAAGGATACATTTTCTCATAAAAACTGGCAAAGAATGTGTGGTACTTTAAAAATATTACACCATGTGAGAAACTGCAGCAGGACCATAATGCTTTTTAAACTCATTTGTCTAGAGAAATGAGAGGTGGGTCATATTTAACAAGGTTAGATATGCTCACTTCATCTTCCTGGAAACATAATTTTATTATCATCAGATTTATCGAATTTTGTCAGATTTTACTTGCTTGTTAAAACATCGGCCAAGTAATATAATTTAACTGAATATTTAGCATAAGAATATGGTCAACATGCTTCTTGATTTTCACAAAACAGAGGCCAAGTGTTAATGGAATCAAGCTGTTCAAAGTAACTTTTACAGAGTATTTCTTTGAACACACCCTACACAGCAATATGTGGCAAGCGTGTCAATTTGTCTTTAGTTTTTTAAAATCAGATCATTTAAAGTAGTTATTTACTACAAATGACTATACGACTCTACACACACACACACACGCACACGCACACGCACGCACAGGCACACACACACACTTACGTTTTTTAAAGAAGAGGGAAAACCCAACCCCCTCTAGGCAGGAGGAAAAACTACAGCCACTTATGCCCATCGCTGCGGAGAAATACGGTAACAGCAGGATATTACGGTACTAGCTGGCTGCTGCCTGTGTTACGTCAGCGAGGGCTGCAAAGTTCCTTGCCATTCTTTTACTGGTGTCGGGGAGCTGAATATTAAAAGGGTGATTGTGGAGTTATCAGTTTTCTGTATTTTTTTTTCTTTCTTATTTTCACTCTTTATTTTCAAATGTCCAGGTAAAACGATAGCGAGCCAGGAGCTTAAAGACTTCGGTGGTGGAGGGGTGAGTCAGCGAGTGCAAAAGGAGAGGATTTGGTTCCCGGGAGAGACGGTCCCCTCTCCCCTCCTAGAGAAGAGAAGTGACCGAAGCCGGGTCTGCTCCTCCCCGCGCTGGCGGGTGGCTCCGCATCTGCGCTTCAGGTGAGTGCGCAGAGGCAGCGGGCTCCGGGTGCGGGCGCGGGCACCCAGCCGGGCGGTGGGTGAGAGCAGACCTCGCCCTCCCGGTGAGACGGAGCCCCCACTCTCCCCAAGCATCGCCTGCCTTTTTCACCGGGTCTTACACCGGCGACCCTACGCCGCCCCCGTTTCCCTCGGGAAGTTACCTTCTAGTTAACAAGTGTCTTTTTAACCCGGTCTGTATCGCCCGAGGGAAGACAGAATGGGTTTCTGCGGCGGCATGTTTTTACTACCACCTGTGAGGTCTTGAACTTGGGGTTTTCACAACGGCCTTTGCACGGGGTTCCCGCCTTGGGGCCGATCCCGGTAGACACGGTGGGCACTTCCCCGCGGCCCGCGCTCCTGCCCCAGTCCCTGCGGTCGGTTTGCAGCGGAAACCCAGGTCTCTAACTGCAGATCGCGGCCCCCAGCCCAGAAGATTCGAGGCGTCCGCGTCCGCTGGCGCGCCGGCTTCATGTTCACGCCTACGAAAGCCGCAGTGACTGTCACTGGCAAAGCCCCTTCCGCAACGCGGTGCCCTTCCCCACCCTGTCCCCTAGCAGTCAGGCTGCCACTCGGGGCTCGAGCCCTTTGAGAGGTCGACACCAAGGCATCCTGGACAGACTTCGGTGGCGCTCAGCCCTCGGGTCCCTCCGGGGTTTGCTTGGGACCTGGTTCTCAGGCTGGCTCGCTGGTCTACAGAGCGGCGCGCTCCGCGCACCCAAGTGCGAATTCCTCGGGCGTGAGCGTGCGCGCGGCACTGGCCCTGCGGCGCCTGGGTCTCAGCGGTTCCCTCTGCCAGGCCGCCCCCTCCAGGTGACTGCGAGGCAACCTGTTCCAATGGCAACTGGGTAGATCCTCCGGAATCCACCGGCTGGGCTTGGTAGGGCATACACGCCAGCCGCAGTCGCGCTTTGGGGGCTTTGGGGATTTTAATTTCGCGGGACCGCCGCTCGCAATCCGGCCTTGGGGCTCTGCAGAGTGGAGTTTTTTTATTTTTATTTTTATTTTTGTTTTTGTTTTTTGCTTCGGATCCTGAACTCGGTCAGAGGCGGTGCGGCAGAGCGCGCAAGGCAGGTTCCCAGCGGCGGAGGCTCGGGAGACGCGGCCCGGGATCCCCTCCCGCGTCGCCCGCGCTGCGGCCGGGCGAGGCCTTTCCTGGACCGCAGACCCAGGCGGGCTCCCAGCTGAGGTCCCACCGCGGGCCGAGGCCCGCACAGCTCTCTCCCTAGGGCGCCTGGCTCACAGCCCGCCTCTCTCTTTGCGCTCTTGCAGGTGGACACGGTCAAACGACGCTCCGCAGCCGCCTGGGTCTCTGCAAATATTTCACATGCGTGTCACCTGGCCGGTGTGCCCAGAAGCTGGAACTAGCACCAGCCCTTGGTGGGGCAGCCCAAAATGTGGGTAACTGCGGAGCAGCGCCCAGATGCCAAGGGGCCCTGCCTTTGAGCGCCGACGGCTGGTCTGTACTTGCTTCTGGTTTGCGGGGGGAATCTGGCACTGGATTTTTGAATTCCAAAAGAATTTCAAATTATGTGCAGAATGCTGAATCTTCTCCCCACCGGGACGAATCAGATAGTGCAGAAAAGTGGACTCTCGTAATTCTAGGATTGCGTTTTGCAACGTGTCTCCTTGACCTCCGTGCCAAGCCTGGGGTAGGGAGGGAGCTGGAGGCCCTGGCCAGCGCGGCAGGGCAGGTGAAGAGGCTACCCCGGCAGCCCCGCGCACCCCTGGCCATGTCGCCTTTCGTACCCTGCCCCTTCGCGTGGCCTTCTGAGGGTTCCCAGGACCGGCCAGGGTTGTTTCCCACCCGCGCGCTCGCTCTCGCCCCCACCCAAGCCGAGCTGGCAGAGCTCCCTGAAGCCGAGAATTTTTGATTCCCTGCTCCCTCGCTCCCGTCTCCGCCCCCGCGCGGGGGTGGCCCTGGAGAGCCGGACCTCGCCCGGCCAGGGCTGGGACCATGGTGTTTCTCTCCGGAAATGCTTCCGACAGCTCCAACTGCACCCACCCGCCCGCACCGGTGAACATTTCCAAGGCCATTCTACTCGGGGTGATCTTGGGGGGCCTCATCCTTTTCGGGGTGCTGGGGAACATCCTGGTGATCCTCTCCGTAGCCTGTCACCGGCATCTGCACTCGGTCACTCACTACTACATCGTCAACCTGGCGGTGGCCGACCTCCTCCTCACCTCCACGGTGCTGCCCTTCTCCGCCATCTTCGAGGTCCTGGGCTACTGGGCCTTCGGCAGGGTCTTCTGCAACATCTGGGCGGCGGTGGACGTGCTGTGCTGCACCGCGTCCATCATGGGCCTGTGCATCATCTCCATCGACCGCTACATCGGCGTGAGCTACCCGCTGCGCTACCCCACCATCGTCACCCAGAGGAGGGGCCTCATGGCCCTGCTGTGCGTCTGGGCGCTGTCCCTGGTCATCTCCATCGGGCCCCTGTTCGGCTGGAGGCAGCCAGCCCCCGACGACGAGACCATCTGCCAGATCAACGAGGAGCCGGGCTACGTGCTGTTCTCGGCGCTGGGCTCCTTCTACGTGCCCCTGGCCATCATCCTCGTCATGTACTGCCGCGTCTACGTGGTGGCCAAGCGGGAAAGCCGGGGCCTCAAGTCCGGCCTCAAGACCGACAAGTCGGACTCGGAGCAAGTGACGCTCCGCATCCATCGGAAGAATGTCCCCGCGGGAGGCGGTGGCGTGGCCAGCGCCAAGAACAAGACGCACTTCTCCGTGAGGCTCCTCAAGTTTTCCCGGGAGAAGAAAGCGGCCAAAACTCTGGGCATCGTGGTCGGCTGCTTCGTCCTCTGCTGGCTGCCTTTTTTCCTGGTGATGCCCATTGGTGAGTCTTTACAACACCTCATCTCGGTATTTTGGGGTGTCTTCACCCCATTCCCCTTCCTTGATGCCAGGCTTTGGGTAGGGGCGCAGAGGATCTGCATTTCAAACAGCGAAGCCTTGGGGCAGTTAGGAAAGGCTCTGGCAGCCTGTGAATTCCTATTGTCTTTCCACCCGGGTCTGATTTGCATTAGGTCCTAGGGCACTTTTTCAGCTACTCTTAAAGTGGCTTTCAACTGATGCAGATTAATTGGTCTCCTTAATAAGAATGTCAACTTTCCTTAATGCCTTTTAGCATGTGTTTAATTTAAACGCATCTTCCCTCTCAAGACTCAATCTCCACCAAGTGCTTAGGCAGACTGCCCATGCCGCTTTCACTCTGCCACAGACTTCGAATTCTCTTGGCCCGAAAATGAGTACCAAACGTGTGATTTTATTAGTACATTAGATTATTCCTAAAGGTTTGCTATAATGGTCTGCTTATGTTCTATATCTGTGTTAATTCTATTTTCTTTTCTGGATTCAGTATGGGAGAATTATGGTAAGCTGCTACTAACCAAAAAAATATATATATATAATGTCCAAACCAATTTAAGCCTTAAATAATTTATCATAATGTTCCAAACAAGGAAATACTTATCCCTTTATTTTAACAGTAACTATTAAAACAAACACCATTCTTATCCAGAATCATCTGGGAAGTTGCAGATGACATTGTTTGAAAATAACACAGTGCATGTAATGCTACAAATCAAATTTTTACAGATGCCAAATTAGCTCTTGTCAAAACTAATTAGTTTATGATGAGTGTCAGCAAGCTGATCCACTAGCAACAGTCGTCTGTCTCTGAAAGGCCTTCAATGAGATCCCAAAATGGTTGTTTGCTATTTTTAATTTGTAAGCTCAAATATCGACCCACACATAGCTTATCCACTAACTCAAAAAAAAAGAAAGAAAAGTCATGGTGAAAATTAATAAAAGTCCATTTCAGGTGTTTTAGAGTTCAATATAAATGGCAGGTACTTAACTTTAATTTGCAACTCTGTAATAATAGCAACTATTATTTTTTGAGTGCCAACTATGTTCCAGATATTTAACCAGGCTTTTTATTTCATTAGTCCTCTCAGTGACTCAGTGAGGTGTGCAAGATTGCATGATTACCCTGCAATCACAAGCGGGGGAAGAGACTCTTCAGGTTCTGTAGCCACCAGCCACACAAATTTATTTGAATGTGAACTGAAGTTAAATAAAATTAGTATTTAGCTCCTCAGTCCCACTAGCCACCTTTCAAGTGCTCAATGGCCACGTGTGGCCCGTAGCTACCATTCTGAACCACAGAGATTCAGATCGCTTTTATCACTGCAGAAATTTCCATCAGGGCTTCTGGAAAGGCCCTTCTCTGCCCACCACCTGGCCTCCCACTGTACCTACCTGTCATCATCACCAACTCTGCGTCTGGAAACACAACACAGCTTTGAACTGCTTGGAACAACAAACACTCTTTCCCCAAGCCGCTGCTTCCTAACTTCCCTGCATCCCGTCTCTGCCTCCTGAATTTGCACATTTGTTCATGCATCTACTTACTCTATGAGTGTTTATGGAACCACAGACCCACTTGTTCTAGACACGTAGGATGAACAAAGCAGAAGACTCTTTGCCAATGAGATGTTTGCATTTGGAGGAGACAGATGTAAACAAATTAGTGTATCCTAAAAAGTCAAGGATCAACAAGAGCTGTCAAAACATCAACAGGATGAGAGCCTAGAGAGTGACGAGGACAGTGGGGTGGGGTGGGAAGAGAGCGCTGTCTACAGAGATGATATTTGAGCAGAGTCCTTAGAGATGTGGGAGGAAGAGCTTCCTGGGCAGAGGGAACAGCCAGTGCAGAGCAGGGAAAGTTGGAGAAGGCCGGTGTAGCTGGGCCACAGACAGCGGGAGGGAAGGCAAGTTCAAAGAGACTGGGGAGGTGGACAAAGTCAAAGTCCTGTGGGGTCTCGTGGGCCAGAGTAACATTTGCATATTATTCTAATTTGATGGGAAGCCATTGGAGGGTTTTGAGGAGGTGAGTTTATATTTTTAGGGGATCATTCTGATTGTTGGGTGGAGAATGGACCATTTGGGGGGCAAGAGTGGAAACAGAGCGACCAGTTAAGAGGCTGTTAGTGAAGTGGAGGGGAGAGAGAGGTCCTGACCCCTTGGACACAGCGGGAAACAGGCGGAGTGGTGAGAAGTGATCGCGTTCAGCATTTATTTCAGAGGCAGAGTGGTAAGTTTGGTCATAGGATGTGAGACAAAGGAAGGTTTGGAGCCCGAACCTGGGTAAATAGTAGTGCATATTACTGAGATTGGGAAAACCCAAGAGTTTCAAGGTTGGAAGGGGTGGCGAGAATTGGGAGTATTTATTTGTCACACTCTACGTTGAGAAGTGTCTATTAGACATCTAAGCAGAGATGCTGAGTAGGCAATTCAATACTGTGTATGAATTTGGAGCTTAGAGGAGAAGACAGGCTATGGACATAAGCTTGGGACATATCAACATTTTTAGAGCCACGGGAATGGAGAGATCTACAAGACAGAAGGTCTGGGAGAAAAGAGATAAGAACTGATCCTTCAGGCATTCTCATACCTGGTGTCAGGAAAAGAGAGAGAGAAGGAGTGGACCAGAAGGTGGGAGGAAAATCAGGAGAGTGTGTTGTCTCCCAAGCCTAAAGAAAACGTTTCAAGAAGACAGCTGTAATCACCTGGGTCACACGCAGCGGCCAGGCAAGGAGAGCGGGACTGGGACCCAGCCCTGGATTTGGCATTAAGGAGCTCCTTAGAGCACTAGGAGGTCATGTGAGGCTAAGAGCTTCGATGGAGTGATGGGAACAATAGCCTGATTGTGCACTTTTGGAGAGACCAAGACGAAAAGCGGGAACAGGGAAAACAGACGAGTCTTGCGACAAGCGTCACTAGACAGTGCAGCCGGGATGTGCAACGTAGCTGGAGGGACGGAGAGAGAGTTTGCAAAGGTGGAAGGTGGAGACGCGGCATCGTATTTATGTTCTGATGGGAAGGACGGGACAGAGAGAGACACGGTGGTGTAGGCGAGAGAGGAGATGGGATGTGGTGCCCAAGTGGAGCGTCAGGAAGTGATGAGAGAAGGCAAAGCGTAGGAGCCCCCAGGCAGGTGGCCGTAGAGGGAGAGAGAGAAAGAAAGAGAGAGAGAGCACGATGTCTTGAGGACACATTTATGTCCTCAGTGAAATCAGAAGCAAAATGGCAGGTAAGAGTGACGAAGGAATAGGGAAGGATGGAGGTCTGAGGAGCTGCGAGTGGGGATGCAGTAGGGTCACTAGGCAGTGCTGGGGGCCTGTTGGAGATTACAGGCAGAACGTTACAGCAGTCAAGAAGGTTGTGTGCTGCTCTCCCACAGCTGTGGGGCACGGGGCGTTGGTGATGACAGACTGTGAGTTCCAGATAGCGTGGCGAAGACAGCTGTTTGTGAAGGGACACAGACTGGACCAGACTAGGCCGCACACCAAGCCAGGTTGGGGGAAGAGCCCAGGTGATGATCGTCGGTCTAGGAGTTGGGACTTGTGGTGGTGACAGCCATACAGGGGGATGGGCCACGATGGCTCGGGTCCTGGGGTCCTCCAGGGGAAGGTGGGAGCTCTGGTCTCTGGCAGTTAATAAAATTGAAATGAATGGCCAGGTGCAGTGGCTCATGCCTGTAATCCTAGCACTCTGGGAGGCCGAGGTAAGAGGATTGCTCAAGGTCAGGAGTTCGAAACCAGCCTGAGCAAGAGCAAGACCCCGTCTCTAATAAAAATAGAAAGAAATTAATTGCCCAACTAAAAAAATATAGAAAAAATTAGCCAGGCATGGTGGTGCATGCCTGTAGTCCCAGCTACTTGGGAGGCTGAGACAGGAGGATGGCTTGAGCCCAGGAGTTTGAGGTTACTGTGAACTAGACTAATGCCATGACACTCTAGCCCAGGCAACAGAGTGAGACTCTGTCTCAAAAAAAAAAAAATGAGGTGAAGAAGTTAGGGTAGAGGGAAGCGCGGGAGACAGGAGCCCTTGGAATCACTGGGCTTCCTTTAAATCCCAATAAAGCGCTATGATGGGAGGGGGACAGAAACCTTAGATCTCAGTGTCTGCGTGGGCTGCTCAGTAGGACCAAAACAATCCCTAAACCTGCCAATCTGCGGTCCCCATGTTCCTCTTGACACCAACTGAGCAAAGAGACAACTTCTCCTAGGATGTACAGCCTGTATGATAAGCACCCGGCACCGAGTTCAAAAGAATAAAAGATGAATAAAGCACGGCCCCGGCTCTCCAGCAGTCTAGTTGAGGAGACAAATTGAGAATAAGGAATACAAGTCTGTGTGATTGGTGCTTGAAATGGTATTATCATGAAGTGCTAAGGAATAGAGCCCTATACTCTGTCTGGAAGTCGCTGCAGAAGCTTCCAGAAGTATAGCCGTTAGCTGAGCAAGGGCTTAAAGGTGACGGCATGACGTCTGCTGGGTCATTGGCGAAGTGTTATTTGTTTTTATTAATTATCTTAAGCACATTTTTCATGCAAAATGTGAACAGAAGAATAAATATGCCATCCTATTATCGTACACAAGGGATATAAGCTCTTAAGTATGACGAGTGCTCTCTTGGGAAGAAGAGGTTGTCCCAGTCTGCCGGAGAGCCAAGGGATTAGAAATTAAAGTCAGGGCAGGGGTGAGTGTGCCGCACACAGCCAAGAGGTGGGACACCCATCTCCAACAGGAGGTGACGCACGAGAATCAGGTGAGGAGACCATTGCATCGCCAAGCATCCTTCCTCTGGGCTGTGAGAAGACTCACACTCGGCTTATTTGCAAGCTCTTCCCCACCAAGGCTGGGTTGCTTGCTGGACTGAGTAGTGTGATTGCAGGTAGGAACCCAACTTGCCTGCTCCTATAGCTCTAAATCTTGCTAGTCTTGCTTCCTTTTTGCATCCTAAATGTTTGCTTGAAATTCAGAACCC